CTAAACTTTTTTTTTCAGTGCTACTTAATTTTTATGGATAATTTTAACCACTACCTGGACGTTAATCTTACTATTCACGGTTATATGTCGACTAAATCACATTTGTGGTTAAAATCGAACTAAAACCGGCGGGTCGTTTATACATACATATATATAATATTATATAACACAAATATTTATATAAAAGTGAGGGTGTGGAAAATTGCAATTTTTGTCAAAACCCCATTGCGGTTGGGAACAAAAATTGCGTTTTCGAGACTCCATATTGCATGCGTTGACACATCTGATCGGTTTGAAATCGTTTGCTATTACTATGCAGCGAAAACTGTGCACTACAGTAAAAGATTCATACGTTTCGTTGTACAGTAGATCAAATTTTGATTTTCTTGATTAATGTTAACTAATTTATTCTTTTTAATTAGAGTTATAAAAAGTCAAAAGCCTTCGCCTCTTCATTTTATAATTACTTTATTCTTGTTGCATGGATATTTTTTTTTGATTGACGCATCCAATAATTTAATCGGACTGACGTGTACGTTTGGATACTGGTCAATTTTCTTTAAACGACTTCAAAAGGTTTCAGAAAAGAGTACGAATTTATACAAATATAATAAAGTTAAATTAATTACATATTGTTATGGTGGCATAGCAGGACTACATATGGCTGATCTCAAATTCGTGTGGACACTTATCAGGATTGCATCAATGCCGTCCTAGTTTTTTTGCATTTGTCCGGTGCTGAATCGGGCGTGTTGGCCGTAGTCTACCCATAATGAATCTCTACCAACCTGCCAGTGGCAAATAAATACGTGATAATGTTAAAGAATACATATCTAAATCCTGAGCTTGGAAAACTTTCAATGCAATAAAGTGTATAATGCCTGCCTCGAATTATTGAATTTAGTTTACATGAATTCATTAATTGTGAGAGATTGAAATCGCATATCAACAATTGTTAGGCGTTATGTTAAGATTCTGAAAGTAGACATGTGATTCAAAGTAACTATATGGGTAGTGTGTTGGTATCTGTGTGATTGTATTGCAAATTCAAACATATGGTGTTAAAGATGTAACATATGTTGTCTTTCGTGATGTTAATAATCGATTATCATATAATCTCTTAGAAGGTTGTCAATGTCAATGAATGCATAGATTGGTTGGTTAGTGGTGGCGATGGCTTTCATTCGTCAGGAGTTTAGATGTATTTTTAGTGACTTGGGTATGAGGTTAGGTAGAGATGTGAGTTGTGTACAATTTCATTACTGCACACTTTTGTTCAGATTGTGGGAGTTGCATATACAGATAACAGGCGTAACAATTGTCTTTATTGAGATAATTATATGCTTGCAAGAGAACTAAAAAGGCTGAAGACAGTTCTTCATTTCGTTAACTGGTCAATTTCTCGGATTCCATTATAAAGTAATATTTATACAAGTCCGTTTGTGCATAATATGTTGGTGATTTTTTGATACAACAAAGTGAGTAATGCAGTGAGGTTTGTTCAAATGCTATTAACGTTTAATATAAGTGTGTTACCGATTAGGATTGATATAAAATAAAATGTGCGTTATGAGGTCAGTTTCCAATTTTTCATTAGCTTTTTTGAACTTCTGCCTGTTATGCTAGTCTTGAGATATTTTTATGATGTAAATTAGCGAATGAGAATTTATCCTAATAATACGGCAAATTTTTATTTGTTTGCACATAGTCTCTCGTCTTATTCGGGTGTTATTGATAATTAGTGGCGATGTTTCAGTTTTTGTCGTGGGAAGCGTTAATATTACCGTTCCAGGTTGTCGTTATGAACTAATGAAAGAATAGGCGGTTTTGATGGTTTCTGATTTGTTAAGTGCTGCGCTTGCAAAAGACGGTAGTATCATTACATATACCTTTTCCTGCCTTACTACCAATTCAACAAGAGATTGTTTATTCAAAGCGTCCAGTAGTGCATTCTGTAGGAGTGACCGTCGGTTCTTCTGCCTAGTTCTTTATAGAAGGTTAATCAATGATCAACCAATCACATTTCGGACAAAATGGGTCACTGTGTGAGTTCAACAATGCTCAAATGCTCATGATTGCTTGTGTCTCCCCAGCAGAGTATAAACACATTTTAAAATATGCCAATTGAGCACGGAACATCAAGAATAAGGCGCCGTAGTCAACCAGGCCAGGAAGAATCTGGATGGAATGATGTTGAGCATCTTCAGGGATTGATGTCAAAGCTGAGAGAACAGATTAGTATTAGGTTGTTGAAGACTGACTTTAGGGTTGACAGTGGAAGAAGTATTCCAACATTGCCTAATGGTTATGATTCACTGCAGCATTATAGAAGATCATTGATGTTTGTTACTAAAGGTGATAAATGAAAAAAAAAATTCTGATATTGATACATTAGAAGATGAGTTCACTAATCTACAGCTTTCATATCAAGAGTTAATGCAGAAGTGGCCACAAACACCAAAACAATGCTGATTATGCTGACAATGCAACTTCATGGGAATAACCAACCAGGCCAGGCTCACCAAAATATCTCAGTTCTATAATAATAAAGAAAGAAGATGAAGCAAAACTTCCTTGGTCATCAGACATCACAGAATCGTTCCAACAAGCTGTAGAGCTTGTAATTGAAGAATATTAAAACTCAATCTCTGCTCTTGAGTCTCAACTCCCTTGCTCACACTGAATTGAATCATTCAGAAACTAGTGCAGGTGAAAAGGAACCAGATTATGTGAGGCTGAACAGTTAATCAAAGAAAGCAACACTCTTATCAAAAGTTTATGAAACAAGGTTACCAAATTAGTGAAGGGGAGCAGGCTGATGAAATGTACATTAAAGATCTGAATGTAAATTGGAATCCCATGCACTGAACAAAAGAAAGACCAACACCCAAAAAGTTAGTCTTTTTATAAAAAAGTAAATTGTCAGACGGAAATGCAGAGCTTGTACTGCTGACTGTCCGACTAAATTTATAAGGGAGTTAATTTAATATGATGTTACTAAGCTCGGTTCTATATAGATCACACAAAAACATCATTATAACGTTATATCGCGAGATTATAAGTATCTTCATTATATCGAGAGTGACTGTGTAGAAGCTAGTCTAAAAGAGCGACAGCAAACGATATCGTTCATTAGTCGAATGTCATGTGACTGCAAAAGTACCGAGACTTTTGTTCTATTAGCAAAAGCGAATGATGTCATCACAAATGTCATATGAATGCAAAAAAGTACCGAGACATTAACAAAAGCGAATGATGTCATCACAAATGTCATATGAGTGCAAAAAAGTACCGGGAGTTCTCTGTAACCCTTTCTCATTTCTCGCAATCGTCGTCTCTTTACTTCTTTGGTCAGCTCAGTTTACCATACATTCGAAGTAATAACTTTACGTAATATTTTTTTTATATCCAATACAAGTTTTGTTGCACGGGGAAAGCGAGTTCAAAAATACTGTCAAAAAAATCTTTTGAGCGAGAGTTCTGTTGTCCTAGGTGAGTTTTTTCACTGAGTATCTGTTGAGTTATTATGTATCTGAAGTTACGCTGCCACTAGGCGTAAATCGGAGAATTGAAAGCGCTTCGTGGCCACAGTATGCGAAAGCTTGCTGTGAACGTTCATCTCCGTTGCCGAAAGGTTACAGCAGGATTGTCTGTGGTGAATAGGATACATGATATATTGCAGTGGCACCTGATAGCGAGTCTATATATCTTGATAATGATGATACACGTACTCATTTATTTTATTAATAAGGCATGAACCTGGAGACGAATCTATAAAATATACAATTATAGGGCAATGTAAAGTAAATATTTCCCGTCTTCCTTTTCTCTCTTCTTCATACCATTCAACGTAATAATAAAATTCTTAATTACTTTTAGGGTGCTGTAACCGTATTCGAAAAGATATGACAAAAAAAAACTATCGCTATCTTGATAGCTTGTTAGTTGTAAAAAAAACTCGATTTTTGTCATTCCACCACAATAACTCAGATCAATAACAACCGCGTATCAATATCAAACATTATTCTAGCTTCTACGATGTTTGTAGCATGGTGAGAAACTATTACGATATTAACAAGAAGACTAGATCGCAGAAAACACAAGAGATTTCTAATTTAGAATTTCTTTAAACAATGAAGCATTTAAATTATACGATTCGTTAGTATATTCGGGAAGAGTAAACGACACTTTAATAAGGAAAATGGGTTCTTACAAGTAAATTTTTATTCGAAATTTATAGTCTTTAATAGATCTTCTTTTTAATTCTTTGACCAAATTAATACGAATATGAATAAAGTAAAACAAAGAGAAAATTATAACAAGATTGTAAAATGAAAGGAAAATAATATTGTTAGGGCTATTGAGTGAAGTGACTCGATAAATTTGATCATATCTAAACATACACGCGATAAACAAAAGCCCCCAAAACAAAAACTAGACCACTTACTTTATCCATGTTCCATTGGTACAGGTAAATCGCCGTCCGTGTCTCTGGTGGGCTTAAGAACCATTGTTTGATACCCAATAAGATCAAATTCCTCAAAATTTCATGTATCAATCTGTAAAAAAACCATTTTAAAATAGTCTATGAATGCATTTGTTGAACTCGTATGTGCATATCCGACTGAATGACATTTATGAGAAATTATGCGTTGGAAAATTAGTCTAAACAAACAGAAGCAAACTCCAAATGTGGCAAATAATCAATTCTTACCCATTCATCAGTCTTCCGATAATGACTGTAATATCAGTCATCCTCGACTCAATCGATGCGATGCTTTGACAGATTTGCCATGCACTCCAGACACATTTCGCCGTACAGAGTCATACAAACACTCGATTTGATGTTGGCGAGTGCCGTTTGGAGTTGTCCAATTTCGTTTACTAGTTTGGAATTTTGAGCGTGATCTATATGGCGAGGTTATTGAAAGTGACAGATAGTATGTCAAAAATGCCAAGACTAAATTCGGATTTCTTTCATTGCATTTTTAGTCGTTTGAGGTTTCCTGATCTGGAATAATACATGTATGAGGATTGAATTATTTGAAAATGTTCGCGTTATACAAACATACCATAATAGTCAATTGCAATCTTTCTCGTATCCAAGGCTACCTTGAACAAGCAGTGAGTCCAACAACTGACACGATTTTGTACATTGGTTCAATTCTCCACTTTGCCACAAATGAGAAAGATGACAAGAGGTGGTAATTGTTGATTGTTTAGTAAGTCGTGAGAAGTACGCTGGTATATCGGTAAACTCCTTGGCAATGGATAATTCGACAGCATGTGTCTTATGGTTTGCTCAGAATCCATTCACTATTTGTTCATTACTTCACGTCGCTATATTATCGAAAACATGCTTTTTCCCATCGTGTGCTCTAACACCCATAAGGCAGTCCTTACAATCGAAGTTCGATTCTATAGTTAGTGCAACTGCATTTGACCAGATCAAAGTTTTGTTACGTACAAATTGCACAACTTTTGTTGCATTAAAAACCTTTGTCATTATTGTAAAAGGCTTTGTTCTTGGTACTGAGTCGGTGTTCTCGCACTCAAAGTTCAAAAGTCTTTGGTTGGATCACCTCATCCTAAACCATTGTCTAACAAATGGATATAATTTAGCGTTCCATACTTAGCTTAAAGTGAATAGTTCTAGTTACTTAAATTTAAAGCTCGGTACTTACTTTCATCTTGAGTTTTTCTATTGCATCTCGGACATTATGCACAAAGCTTAACATTTTTGGTCGCTTGGCTTAGTTGATACTGACCATTAGTTTGCGTGGGACACCAATAAATGTATCGTATATACGGAAACGTCCTGCTATTTTGTATTTTCGGAGGCGCGGAATCTCTTCTTGATATTAGACGGTACGTACACTGTCAATCACTGAAATGGCCACATCCGCAAACAATCAAGAAACGGTTCTTATGTCTATATATAATAAATAAAAACTTACCAAAGATGGTATTATCATTAAATTGCTTGCCAACACAATCAAATACCTTCTTCTGTCTTACTACCAGTTTAACTAGAGAATAGTGTCTGATCCGTTCTACACGTACATTATTCTTCTGAATAGCCATCTCCACTTCTAAGATGAGTAACTGCCCAGTGGCATAACGTATTGTATGTGCCCGGATAATTCTTTACAGATTGATTCGATTTGTAATGACTTTCACATCTTGAATAAAAGCTTATAAAAGTTGGCAAACTCAGGTATATAAAGTGACAACTGATATTCGATGGAATTGAACGATTGAATAAAGGTGAGAAACATTTAAAGATTACCTGTGATAATGCGGGAGAACCTTACTCAACAGTTTCCTGATTGCTCACATGTTGCCAGATCGCGTTTTCTTAGTATAAAGTTCCTTGTTATTATTATTACTTTAACCCCGAGAAATACAGAGTGTCCATTTTTACGTCTCATTTACCTTTTTGAAACAGTCAATTATGATTAATATAATAATTTATTTATAACTGACTTCTTTAATGTGTATTCGTAACATTTTTGGCCACAAGCGTAAAACTTCGCAAGAATGTAGACGAAGCATAAAGATCAGTCTAAATTAAAATTATACGCGTGGCTTATCCGCAGTAATTTACCCCTTACCCCTGATTGAATATTTTTTTACTCCCGAAGTGTCTTGTTCTTATTTATAGAAACTAATTGCGACAATTGCAATATTTCTATAGATGTAAAGACTTATTTGCTAGCGTAAAGAGTTAGCATGGCTCATTATTATCAGTAGTATTATGTCATGTTGCATGTGTCGTACTTGGACAATCTGACAGTTGCAGCTTACTGCATAGATACATAGTCAGTCTCGATAAGTCGGCCAATGGTAGATCGCGAGGAACTTTTATTCATAGCAAGGTGCTCGCTAAAGCCCAGTTTAAGCTATTTTTATCTATTTACATATTTTGTAAAGGAAGAGAACAAAAGCCCATAAGGACGGATTAGACTATGGACGGGTAGAGTATCTACTTATGGCTGCGGTTATAATGGATTGAATTTTGTTAGGGGAGACCCATGGGGTAGATGGGTCTATTTGTTTGTCTACAGTGCGGAGTGATAGAAGACGTCCTAAAAGTTGGTTACTGATGTCCGTAATTGGGGGGATGGGGTTACGTCCGAAGGCCCTTGATGTAAAGGCATTCCAAAGTATTGAGATTGCTGCTGATTGGATGGAACGTAGGAGTCTGTGTTGTGGTGGTGAGAGGGAGTTGTCGGGGATGTTGGGTGGGGGTTGCATGTGTGTGCCACTTGTATAAACATTGTGGGCTATATCCCAAACTGCTTGTGCAATGTGGCATTGGTGTAAGAGGTGTAGGGTGGTGTGTTCTTCATTTGGGCACCAGGGGCATTCACTTTTGTCTGGGGCTATGGTTTCCAGGGGTCTTCCTATTGGAAGTCTCTCCCAGGTGGCTAGCCATAGGATGTCAGAGGCTGGTCGATGTCGTTCTTTGTGAAAGATTTCATCCCATCCTAGCTGTCCAACACTTGGGATAGTGATAGTGTTGGGCTCATGAGGGGCCTGTGATCGGAGAATGTTGCGTAGCCCTGGCAGATCAGGTAGGGCTATGAGTGTGTTGGGTTGTTTTCTTTCAATCTTTCTGCAGGCTGACAGGCAGCTGCGGAGAGGTTCGAAAGGTTTGTGTGTGATGCGTTTGTGAGTGATTGCTTGGGTTATGTCTCTTATTGTTGTTTGGGTTCGGAGAATGTGGTTAG